TTGTTGAATGAGTGAAGTTGATATCTAAATCTAATATTTTTCTAATAATCCCATAAAATTCTTTGTAAAGAAAATTATATTTTTTTTAAAAGATGATCAAAGGGTTTATTTTTTTATGAGAAGAATCTCAAATTTTTTATAATAAATTACGCACTGTCATAGATAGATTATTATATATTTTATTTGACATTTTTACATATATAAAATAAAAAAGTTAGAATAATAAAATGGTAAAACTAAACTTCTAAAAATTTATATTATTAACAAAATAAAGTTACGACAAAATATCAGTAATAATATCTATAGTACAAATCAATAAATGCATATTTTCACATGTTTAAAGTATATATTTTTCAAAAACACATTATAAATGAATTATTCGCGTGTATGCGGGAAAGTCACTGTAATACAACAAAATAGAGTATTATATAATTGGAGAACATGTTGTGTTTTGGAAACTTGTTTACTTCGGTCAGCGTCCATATTCTTATTTTCTGAAATGCTCAGACGTACGTGAGACATGGGCTATGGGCAAGTGCTAGGATGGGATGATTGTAATCAAGGTTACAGGAAGTTTAAATCTTGTTTTTTTTTAATTGTTAGATTGTTATTTATCTATGATTAAAAAATTTGAATAAACAAAAAAATATAAAAATGAGATTCAGTTTATTTAAAGGAACAAATATGTTTTTAGTAACCTTTTTTTTTTATTTCAAAACACATGGCCTATTTTTTTAATTTTTTTTAAAAAGTTAGCTTATTTTCATAATTTTCCCTTTAGCGTTTTACTTAAACTTTTAGCCACTAGGCCGTCATATCTATTTTACTTGCTTCTCATTATTTTGTCTCTAAAGCTTATATTTTGGGTAAAATTCGACTTTATCTAATCCCATATTGTTATACTATTTGTTTCGATAAACAAATAAACATGAACCTAGATCGATAGTTGACTATCAGTGATTACATGCATTTTCTTTGTTTACGATACTTAGATAGTTAACTATGTAAATTAGTTGCCTATGTCTGCATTTAGTTCACTACTATATATGTTAATTGTTCTCCAATACCCGATTTGTTTGAATATTAGTTTTCTCATCGATTTTATCCAATCCGAACGCAGATGTTTCACCTCATAAACTGAAACGTTAAAAGTTTTTTTTTTAGTTGGATTGAAACTAAAGTGGATTTTCAAGCTCTACCGCTGTAAAAGCTGAATTTCGCACTGAGAATTTATATGTAAATTCGGAGAAAACTTTAGTTCTAAGAAATGTCTATGAACCCGATGAGAAAAGAAATATAACAAGAACTGGATTTATACTAATACGAATCAAATATACAATGAGATCTCGAATACTTAAAATTGTTCACTCGCATTTAATTTAGAAAAGAAAATAAATAGAATTAACTAGTTTGTAAACGC